TTTCAATATCCCAAGTCTGAAGTTTATGCTACAAAATAACCTTGACATCCATTATTCCCTTATGAGCTTTTGATTGTAATCCATGAGCTCATTAATGAAATTAAAAATTTTAATAAAATTGGTCAAAACGATAAAATGGGCACCGATTCACCGTTTACAATTAGACCTGCCTACTAGCACATTTTAAATGGTTTTTGTTATAGCCGATTAATCGAACATGATTGGCTCAATTTTGGGTTCGATTCCCGATTCCACCAATTGGGCCAGGCTAATTTAAATAACATTTCATTAAAATTACTTTATCTACTGACGCTGTTACAAACGAGGATTTGAAACATAGAATTCATCTATAATAGAATCTACATTTATTTTCTCATCAAGTCAAAATGATAAAATCAACACCGATTCATCGATTTACAATTAGACCAAGTTTTAAATGGTTTTTGTTCTAATCAAAACACGAACATGATTGGCTCAATTTTGGGTTCGATTCCCGATTCTACCGGTTGGATCAAGCCGATTTTAATAACATTTCATTAAGATGACTTTATTTTACCAACAAGGGTCTGAAACATAGATTTGATCTATAGTAGAATCTACATCTATTTTCATCAAGTTGTCATTCAATTCAATGCATCATATAATCATCAAGGAAGACATTCTCCATTTTGTTACGAAGTTCCATCTTCACATGTTTTGCTGTTAAAAATGCTCGCTAAATGGTTGCAGTAAAAATATGTAATGTCAATATAAAGTGAATTAATCTAGTCACAATAATGTAAGTGTCTAATGATTTGCTTTCTATCAATTATCGACATAACTTAGAGTATTTTCAAAACATTCTCTATTTTTAAATAGCATATTCTATGATTTAAAGAATATCTATAAATTTAGAAAGTAAAAATAACATCTATAAAGTTGGAGAGTAAAAATTTCAAAGTACTCCAACAAACTTTTTATATCTAACACTTAATTTTACTACTCCCAAAAAATATTTATTATTTTTCTCTATCTGTTATTTTAACTAACTTTTCTTTAAATTATTATATTATTTTTCTATGTTAAAAATTAAAATATTTTGAATGCATTTAATTATAAAGAGTGAATTGACTCCCCAAATTTAGAGAGGGAAGCCTACTCTTTAAATTAAATTTTAATTTAAAGAGTCTCTTGAAGCATAATATTAAAAGTTGACTCTTTAAAATAGTGAGCATCTGTTGTTTACAAATTATCTTGGAGATGCTCTTAACAGTGTAAGTACTTGAAATCAAGGCTCACCCTTCAAATCTAGCTCATAATATTGCAACTCATATTCCAAGGTGAAAACCTAAGTATAAAACTTCTCTTCAATTATGCAAATATCGTGATTGTTTAATAATTTAAATGAATGATTAGTATCTAAAGTCACGATGAAAGAAAAGTCTATATCTCATTGAATACTTCAGAATTAAATCTATTACTTCATTAAAAATATTGAAGTGATAATGATGCTCAAATGTGGTTTGATCATGAGAATAACCAATACTATACAAACTATCTAGATCAGGTGTGTCAACATCATTTTTTGATTAAAAAAAAAAATCCATTTTACTTCGAGAGATATATCTAACGAAAGTCAAGACATTTTGAGATCTTCTTTTGATGGGTTTTGACAGAGAACATTGATTTTCATAAAATTATGCATTAGATGCAAGAAGAATACAAACTCAATGAGATCCTCCATCTGGACAATGGACAATAAGACATTCAAGTACATTGTAAGTTACGATTTACATTTCTGTCAAACTCTTTATGAAATCACAATGAGAAATCCAACAAGTACCTCTTGATCATTGTAAATTACCCATTTGATTGCTCCACTTCTAGAAAAAAGCTCTCTCTTGTGTAGATTACAAGGCAACAACAAGCATAATAAACTATTATCATAGCAATTAGAAAATAAATGGAAAGAAATAGTGAATTGTGACATTCTGTGTATCTCAATAGCAGCGTAAGTGGGTGTAAAATTGGAGCAACTAGCAAATTTAGGGTGAGGACTGCTGTATACATGAATCTAAAGATTAGCAAAATGGAAACTCTAAAATATCAAATGTAGAATAGAAAAAAAAATGGATTAAGCAAGTAGAAACATTATATAAATATAAAATTGACCCACAAATAATGTAAAAAAAACGAAAATATGTTAAAATTTTACAAGTTCGTCAGATTTTTATTTTTCATATTATTTGAAATTAAATCCAATATATCTGAAAAATTATAAAGAAACCTGTTTTTGAAATCATCTACACCCATTCAAATAAAAAAAAGAATTCTACATTTTTTGTTGGTTATAGTTACATTTTTATGTTCACGTCTACGTCAATATTATCTACTTCGAGTGAACATGGAAAAGATTGTCAAATATTATTGACGATGAGTTATCACTTTTTGTATTATTTCTATATTAATTTGAGATTTTCTCAAACCTAAACATTACAGCTTGATTAGATTTAAAAATTGTGATTTGATCGTATATTTTATTATTCACTTTTTCTTGAATTTTAATACTAACAAACTCGAAGGAAAATTACAATAAAATCATCTATATCGGTGTTGTGATTTGGGAGAATGAAAGTTGCTCGTTTTTCGAGCCTTTCTTATTTTGTATGTTTGGAACATGAAGACTAAAGCCCCGTCTGATAGAAATTTTCTTCCTTTGACAAATTGCTTTTCCAACCGCCAATTTTGTTGACTTGTGTGAGACAATGGGACCCATGAAAATGACAAGCAACGGTAACAATTTTGATTTTATGAGGTTTGGGTAACAATTGGTATATGGTAATAGACAATTTATTTAATTACCCATTTTTGTAAATATTTTATTTTATGCTAAAATTGTAATTTATCAGTTTAATTTTTGGTAGAAATTTAATTTTTTCAAAATTTTTAGAATTTCCAATTTGGTTTTTAATTGCCATTAAAATTTAAAACCTAAACCAGACTGTTCCAGGACATACTTTAAAAGTTTTTCAAGAAATGTCCAATCTTGCACGAATCAAGCACTTTTAAGCATCTATGACACTTCCACTCGTGTGTTTGCTGCCCCCAAGGTGTTAAGTTTATCTTACCTACTATGGGGAGAAACTTACTTATGATTCTCACATCTGAAAAGAATCGTAAGCAGTCTCGTTCTCGTACTATATCAGCAAGTGAATAGTCTTATCTTGCCAATTGTGGGCAAGAGAACAATTTCTAGCACTTTTATATATTGTTTAATAAAGTTTTGGTTAACATTCTTTGGATAGATGATATTTTCCCAGCAGCAATTGGAGTGGGGTGCATCTGCGTGTTTTTATTTTGAAAATCTTCCATCGATTATCTGCACATTTATATTAAGATAGATAAATCTAGAATTATCTTTATACACTTCTATCACTAGAAAATAATGAAGTAGACCTTAAGTTTTTCAATACACGTGTATATATAGCCCTCCAACAATGAATCAATCTCAATAATCTTAAAATGTTCGAAAATAAAATAGTAAATTGCACTTTTGCTCCTGAACATTTGAAGGTTGTGACGATGAGGTCCCAAACCTTTGATTTATAGTATCTGGGTCCCAATACCTACAAACTTCTGCAAACCCTCGATTTTACCTTTAAAGATTAAGTTTTGAGTAAATTGATAATTTTACCTAATTTATTTAAGGAAAAAAAATCATATTCACTTGAAGTCCTAACTCGCATTCACATTTTTCACTCAAATTTTCAACAAATTTTAAACTTCAAAAGATCCAATGTAAGCCAATATTCTATGATCTGCTGCAAAATTTGATTCAACAGCATCTTTAGGGGTCTCAGGACGAGTATCTATCCAAATACTCTAGCATTTCGGACCTAATAGCTCGAAATGAAATTCCCAGCCTCCAGGGCAACTTATACATAAAACCCTTGAGAACTTGCCTAATAGAATCACATTTATTTGAATTTTGATTCTATGATCCTCCTTCCCCTTATTCTTTGGGCATTGAAGCATTTATTTTTGGAGTTTCATCATGAATTCAATGTCTGCATTTGCAAGGAACTAAAAAATTGGTAATCTACTATAATTAAATAGACATAAAAACCAGTAAGTCGATCTTAACACAACAAACCAAGACATAATAATAATAATAATAATAATAATAATAATAATAATAATAATAATAATAATAATAATAATAATAATAATCCACCAGAATAAATTAAACGGAGTCCCTTGAAGAATGAACTCTAGGAGGAATCCATTTTTTTTTATTCCACTTAGATTGATGAAATACTATGATTTATGGATAATGGATCCCATTGTTAACTAAAACGGCAAAAAATCACTAAGGTGACGCAAATGTATTAAAAAAAAAAGTGATTAACACCTAAAGTTCTTATCTTTGTTGCTATCCCTTTTGATTATCATGTAATATTAGACATTAGACATAAGAAAATAAAGAAAGTAAAGCAACATTGACTTATGAAATAACAAAATATGAACGGAAGTATTGAACACATCACATAAAAAATTATGTAATTTATCCAATTGCTACATTTATTTCAATTTATTGTTTTAACTCAAACTAAAAATGGTATTTTATTCAAAAATCGATCTTTTAACAATCAAATCGATGATTTCCGTCATGAAAAGACCTCAAGCGAGGACACTTGTAAGGCTTAGGATCAGTGTGTTAGAAATCAAAGGTTCAGGACTCTATCATCATAACCTTCATAGTCAGTACACCGGGTGCAATTTACCAAAATAATTGATTAGGTAAAGATAACTCTTACATTTTTAAAGCTCAACAAACATACTTCTACTATGCAAGCTATTGCGTCAATTTGAGGGTTTACCCAATACATACTCAAAAGTTAGTGACTGTGGGTTCCCCGTCATAAAAAAATAAAAATAAAAATAATATATATATATATATATATATATATTAGAAAAAACCTCTACTAGGTACCAGCCATTATTCTTTTTGTACAATGAAGTCAACAAAGGCTCACAAGTCTACAAATTCAAGCAGCTGAGATTATGAAAGTACCCCTATTCTCTCTCCTCTCGACGTGGAAACTCTATCCTCATTTCCTCCTTTGCTAACTCTCGGGAATTATAACGTAAAATACAAAAGCGTACAAGCCTTCAAAGCCACCCTTCTTGTCTTATCGTTTTTCACGATTTTTGTCTGTGTTTCTGGCTTCTGGTACTCATAAAAGTGTAGGTTTATGTAAGTTTCGTTATATGATAATTGAGATTTGATCCGAACAGTGGATCTGAAAACGCTGATGGAAAGGATCGTCGGAGGTAAATTTAAACTCGGCCGCAAGATCGGCAGTGGATCCTTTGGCGAAATATTTATAGGTAAGTTGTTTATACAGCTACAAACATTTTTTAATTCTGCATATATTTGTTTTTATAAATTTTAATTTTAACTGAGGGGTTTTTTTTTTTTGGTATTATACTGAATTTTTGGGGAATTTTGTATTTTGCAGCTACACATATTGATACTTTTGAGATCGTTGCGGTGAAGATCGTAAGTTTTGAATTGAATAAAAAATATTTTTTTGATTTCATAAAATTGTTGCCTGTAGCTTTTGTCCAAAGTGAAATGCAAATTTAGAATCAGGTAGGTCTGTGCACATGGTTCGATGCTGTGTGTGGATTTGTATGCTCAAGTAATCATCTAGATGTTTGTAATTTAAATAAGAACTGCTGAGGAGAATGCTTGAATGTTATTAGCCTTCTTCATATGGTTGTTCTCTTGACATCATTTGAGCACAAGGTGAAAATTGGGTCGGTTTATAACTTCACTTCTAAATTTTCGGGCATAGAGAATAGTTAATACCAATAGATTACCGTTTTCGATACTCAATCCTTGTATTTGTTTTTTTCTCTGCAGGAAAATAATAAAACAAAGCACCCACAACTTCTTTATGAGGCCAAGTTATACAATATTCTTCAAGGAGGAAGTATGTAATAATCATTTTGAAATGCAAATGATGCACATTTTTTGTATGCATCTGTTATCTAAATGATACATTAGAAATAAAATTGAATTTTATGCCATTACAATCCCATGTAATTTACCTCTACGGGGAAATTAATGAGTGCATTAATTACTTTCCACTAGGAAAATGACAGTTTCAAGATAAGTGCCCAATGCCGAGATTTTACCGACGCTCTTAAATACATCTATTGTTCTTTGACTGTGTCTAAAAGTAAAAAAGAAGTTAAAAGTTGATTTACATGTTTTACAATTCTCAGTCTCTATGATTAAGCCCCTATTTGAGTTCCATTCTTTAAACACTCATTTCGATCCGCACATTCTCTCCATAAAATATTTTTATGCATAAACCTAAGACTTTTCTTGATTATTTAACCATGTACTCTCCAAAAAATCACTATTCCAAAATCTACTCTCAAAAAATAGGGCTCAAACAAACCCTGAGTGTGAAAATTGGCAGTTCTCTTACATTATAATTGAGAGCATTCAGCAAGTTTACTTCTCTTCTATCCTAATGAACATAGTAAAAATTGTAATAAAAGAATATTGAAAACAAACGAGAAAATGCTATTCATGTGTTTGAGCAATGTCTGTTTCATATGGCTGTATTTATTGAGATGACGGATCTGATGTTGTGATACATGCACATATTAATGTGTCTCTAATGTGTTGCATCCCAAGTCCATGTGTCTTAGCTGTCCGTACAAAGGGAGATGGCATAACCCGGAAGACTGCTTGAGCACTGTATTAGGAACTTTAATTGTTTGCTTTTCTTTTTATTTAATTTTAAACTTTAAAGTATTTTACATCTATTCACTCATTAGGTGGTATACCTGGTACAAAATGGTCTGGCCAGGATGGGGATGATAACGTCCTTGTCCTTGATTTGCTGGGACCAAGCCTTGAGGATCTTTTTGTGTACTGTGGTAGGAAGTTCTCACTGAAAACTGTCTTGATGTTGGCTGATCAAATGGTAAGAAAATCCATTAGTGATTATATTTGCCCTCAAACCTCACCCTGCGTTCTTCTTTTATTTCTTTTATTTCGTGCTTGTTACAATCCTTAGATCTTAATTCTTTGTGCAGATAACTAGAATAGAATTTGTACATTCTAAAGGGTTTTTGCATCGGGATATTAAGCCAGATAACTTTCTAATGGGCCTTGGACGAAAAGCGAATCAGGTAATGGTAGCTGCTATTCTATAGCATTTGTACTTTTTTCCTCATAGATATATATTTTCTTCACGATTCGTATATGATGTGCTTTTCAGGTTTATATTATTGATTTTGGCCTTGCCAAACGATATCGAGATTCAACAACAAATAGGCATATCCCCTACAGGTGCACTTCTGTTGCATGACTTGCAGGATTTTTTTAACTGTATGCTTTCTCCTTGTCTAGTGTTTATTTTCCTTCAATCTTTTAGTCATTTAATTAGTCAAAATTCTGGTTCGCTAATATAAAAATGATGTGAAGATTACTTTGTTTGGTTAGGAGAACATATTCTTGTGAGATTATGGGGAAAAAATTGACAACTCTTGACGCATGTTGTGATTTGCTTCATCGCTTCACCTTTTGTCCATTTCTCAGTAATAGCTTCCTTCATACATCTCCTCAATCTATGTATAATATTGCTTTATTTTTTCACTTGTTCAGGGAAAATAAGAATTTGACAGGGACTGCACGGTATGCAAGTTGTAATACTCATCTTGGGATTGGTAAGTGGACGGACAGTTGTTCTCCCTTTTAAATATGTCCAATCTTTCATTCCTTCTGTTTTAGCCATGAAGAGGAGGAAGAGAAGTCTTCTGGCATTGTTATGGGCATTCAATTATATTTTCCTTTTGTATCGTAGAGCAAAGTCGGCGGGATGATTTAGAATCCCTTGGATATGTACTTCTGTATTTCTTGAGAGGAAGGTAAGCACAGCCCTTTTTAGTGCTTCTTTCCCTAGTCTAGTTTTGATTTTTCTGTTTCTGACTAGGAAGCATTAACACGATTGAGGAGCGTGCTGGACATCAAGATATAGCTTCCTTTTTTTTGTTTTTTGTTTTTTGTTTTTTTTTGGTTTCACGATCAGATATGGTGCCACAACATTAAAATAATAGAACAAAAACGGAAGAAAAATAGAAGTTACTAAGCTGTCTGGAGGATCAAACTGGCGCTCAGACAAAGCTAGCCTGGAGAAAATTCCGCTGGTTGAAAGAAATAACTGACAGTGGGTAGAAATTAGATGTCGAAGTGAGTGGAAGAGAGTTGATGACGCTAGCTGAAATGGTCTGAAGCCCTAATGTATTGTGTATTTGGTGACACTAATTAATTCAAAGTGAACACAGTTCTAGCTAAATAAGTAAGCATGGTTTTAGGCACGTTTTTAATATAACTCAAAATCAGATTTAGACATTTAGTTAATTAAAACCATGTGCATTTTTTTTTTTTTTAATCTCAGATCACTCTGTAATTAAAACTTACAACTTTTACACTGTTAAACTTACCATTGTGAAATTGAAGGTATACAATTACGGATTTCATTTTCGACCTGTTCTTTGCTTTAATGTTAATTACCTTTTAGAAATTGAGCAAATACAAAATGTCCCATTTGCTTAACACACTAAATAATTTGAAATGTAATAAAGAAAATCTTATTGTTTTAGCATAGTGTCAAGATGTGTCATATTGAAGTGTCATGACGCGTCAGTACCATGCATCCGTGTTGGTGTTTCCTAGGTTTTCCAAAAGATGATTCAAGTGGGCTTTTCTTTAACCAAGTACTTGTTTGTGTATAGCCTTCCATGGCAGGGTTTGAAAGCTGCCACAAAGAAGCAAAAGTATGACAAAATATGTGAGAAAAAATTATCAATTCCTATTGAGGTGGGCACATGTAGCAATAGTTTTCTTTTTTTTCCTAGTTTCACATTTTCTTTCAAATTATCTTTATTCTGCTTTATGCTTATTTTTTCCCTCCTGAAGGTGTTGTGCAAGTCCCATCCAGTGGAATTTGCTTCGTATTTCCACTACTGTCATTCATTGACATTTGACCAACGGCCTGATTATGGATTCTTGAAACGCCTCTTTCGTGAACTGTCTACTCGCGGAGGTATTGTTAAGTTAATGGTTAGTTGTATACGTATGTGACAAGTTCCTTTTTAGAATAGCACTTAATCATATTGGATTTGTCGGGTGATTAATCTGCAGTTGAGATGTGCACAAGAGTGATGCGATGTCTCAGTTCCATGTCTTATTATTGTCTTGAATTATCTACTAATGAGTTCTCTATTGCAGGATATGAATTTGATTACATATTTGACTGGACAATTCTGAAATATCAGCAAGCACAAATAAGTAAAACACAACAACGCGTACCAGTAATGTCTTTCTCATTTTGCTTCTCAAATTTCCTTAATTATGTTGATAGATTTTATTTATTTATTTATTTTCCGCTTACTTGATTGGTCTATATTTGCTAGAACAAGCTGCCATTGCATATAATTTTGAATCTTCGATCATCATTTTTCTTTGTGTGAAACTGGTACTTCATTACCCTTTTTTTGGTCAAAATTTAATGTAAAATGTTTTTGCAGCCAAATGCTGGTGAGAGCAGTCGTCCACGTCCTGTGGATATGGAAAAGCAACAAGGTTAGATTTTTCTGGAGCTCTTTGCTTAACGGGATAACTAAAGTGTAACAAAAAATAAGTCAATTCAATTTACTGTTGGAAGATTTTATTGTGTTTGGAAAATTTTCATCTTGCTTAATTGTATTCGTTCCACCTGCAGGAAAATGGAAGTTTTGCCTTCTTTTTAAATTGTACAGTGCATCTATGTGCTTGAAATTACACAGATTACACAAATTGTACAGTGTAATGGTTCTTAGCGGCCTAGTTCATACTGGGATTGACCTCGAAACTGAAATAAAAAACTAAATAATCCAATAAAATAAAAAGAATGCTATCACTATTATATTAAATATGCTGGTATCTGATATCCTATCTGTCAGTTTTCTTGGATAATTTCTTTCATATATCTTTAAGTAACTGAACAGTGAAATTTTAATTCGATGCCTGCAGGCAAAAATGCTTCTTATTTAGTTGACTTGGGTGAACGGATGAGATCAAACAATGCAGCTGGTAGTTCTGGCATTCGTATGGAATTTAAATCATCAACAAATCGAAATTCCGAGAATCCTCTTAGTAGAAATGTATGCCAATCCTTTTTTGTTGATTGAAAAAGGAGATATGACCTCAACTGTTATTCCATGTTTTTCCCTTTATTTCTTGTAAGGATAATTTTTTTGGCTTTTTTTATTGCATTATGAATAATGTTGTCAGATCTTGGTATTCTTAATGTTATGAGCAATCAAACTTATGTATTTATCTATTAGCAGATTGGACATTTATATTACTTAATTCTGTAGATGATGAGCAATGCGCACATGCCATCTACTTCATTTGCTTCTGCTGACATAGCGAAAGGGAATGACTCAAAACCTGTAGTATCTACTGAAGCAAGTACTGGTAATGGAAATGGCGATAATACTGGTCCTTCAAGTAGTTGGATCTCTTCTCTGCGCCGTATTTCTTCTGCCAAGTGAATGATATGGTAATGTTATCCCCACTACACCCCCTCCTCTCTCCCTCCCTGCCTTTCTCTCTGTGTGGCTAGTTTATTCAAATGGATGCATGTTAACGTACCGTGTTCAGTTGCTTATATACTTATTTTCTCTCTTCAGGTAGACACCAAGCTGGAACAGTGCACATGCTGTGGATTTAAAATTATTTTTCTGTGTGCCATGGTTACAAGGTTGTAAGTAGGGTGTGGCTGATCCTGATCATTGTATGAAGACATTCGGTTTCATTTTTTATGAGATACGGTGATGTATGTCTACACAGCAGCTACTGTTCTGTGGTTGGAGGCCTTGGTTAGATGTCCTTGAGATGATTACTGAACACATTGGTTGATTGGTACTCCCAAATCATATCTCAGCTTCCAGTCATATTCGTGCAACAAATTAGTTGCAATTGATTTTGTTTTGGGTTCATTGTAAGCGGAGTAATATGTTCTGCTATTTTCTCCGTTGACAGATCACACAGCCATATTGTGCATATGGTGGTTTTTAAGCGTTGTTTTCATGGGCTTAATCAAATCGGTTGCTTGCTTACATTGTGAACTATATGCCTTTAGATCCTTTGGTGACAAGAACCCCCTCGTTTTGGGAAATGTATTGATAACTTGACTAGATTTTCATATTAGTAAACGTAGATCTTCATATTTGAAAGCTAATAACTTATGCTTTCCTTGTTTATTGAGTTTGTCGTAAGTAAAGGATTTTCCATGAATGACTTCCGATTTAAGGAAGTTTTGAGCTCATTTTGGCCATAGGTGTTGAATGGGAAGCTATGCTTGAGGGTATTAAGATGGATGTGTGGTCATGCTAAATTAGTCGAAGTTAAGAACTGAAAATGTACACACGGAGTGGTGCAGTTGAGGATATATCAAGGAAAGAACGACTTTGGTAGTTGGTAAGAGACGTTGTTCTAAGAGGGATATGATTCATCACTAGAACAAGTTTAGAACATGGAAGTGGAAGTAAAAAATAACATGGCTTGTGGTTGGTAAGTGTATTTGATTTGGATCTTTCGCTAGATGTAGCAGTGATTTGAATGGGGTAGCGAAAAGGATTCATGTAGCTGTTCCCAAATTTATTTGGATCTAAGGCTTTACTTTTGTTGTTGTATGCTTGACAGCCTTACTTTTGGTTACACTACTGGGTTTTTTTTAGCTTTTGTGTGAATATTTGACCTTTCTATCAGGGACATAATATTATCTGACTAGAAAATCAGGAAATGTTATATCACGGCTTTCGTCTGCTTTCAATCTTCATGTGAACTGCTTGACTCTGCCCATGCCGTAATCTCTTTTACCCCCCTTTGTGTAGCATCCTATAAAAGTGATAATACTGAGTTCCTGTCTTTACTGAATTTATTTTTCTCAAAATTCTGTTATGCTTCGTCTAGTTTCCTCATAGTTGGGAACTCGTTTCAGAGCAAAGCATGTTTTAATGATGCAGCTTACCGACTACTTTAATATAAAGTTATTTTATATTACCTATCAATTATGAGTTCATGCCTTTGCAAATTGCAGGATTTGCTCTTTCTACCTATATGATACTGTGGGTAGAATGGGGCAGAGAAATATTATTGAAGCTGGTATCGCCACTGACTGGTGCGGCTTCTGTGAGATAAGTCTGTCTTTTCTATGATCAGTGCCAAAAGAAGCTGGAATTGTTGACTCTTTAGGTTCATCTTGTTAATTTTATGAAAAGTAGTGATGTGTTTTCAAATGAACCGGAAACATCTTAAGCAACTGCTTGTGATGGATTAATCACAAGCGAGGAATCTGTTGAATGTACTGTGGCATGTATATATCTTTCTGCATATAAGACACGAGGCATACTGGATTGCTTTAAGAAGCCACATCCCGAACTGTTACGAGCATGGGTTTCTAATGTGGATTATAATGTGACAACCCGTCAAAGATTGCAGAAAATAAACCAGGCTTATAAGCCTAGGTTGTGATCTGAAGAACTAAAGCTGGTATATTGCCCTCTCATTTACATGGAATGACTGTAAATATTTTTCAAAAGAAAAACAGTGACAAGGCTGCAGAAAATGAGAGCAGACTTCCTGGTCAGTGAATGGTTTCTGTGAGATTCAAGTTATTCAAACTAGAGAAAAGTATTTGCTGGATGTGAAGTGCCGAATAGGTTGTAATGAGCTCTTTATGCTATGGGATTATTATTGATTTGCAAAATAATGTGGAGATGCTTGCAGTTTGGGTTGATAAGAAATCAGTTCTATTTTATCAATCCTAGGTGTTTGATGTTGATGCTGCTGCTCTTTGTAGCACTTTTAGGATCTTTTCATGCCTTGTTACAGATTGGCAAGCTGGTGAAATAATAGGGATTTTTCACCTTGTGACAAGGTGATTCCCTCGATGCTGTTGAAAATTTATGCAAAATAGTTGTGGAGATTGGCATCTTTGCCAGCACACACTAATCATGAAAGGTATGTTGAGCAGTTTTGGTTCAATCATCGTGATCGCTTCTTGTGCTTATTATGCTGGATGTTTACAATACCTGTTTGTGGAAAATGCTTGGACGTGCTGTTGGATGAGTGTCAACTTTTTCTTCTTTAATATTGTTCGAAATTGAATTTCCTAAAAGTTTAGTTGGGCCGACTGCTATTGCCTCGCACGATTTATATGGTCTTTACTACTGTTGGGATATTTGATGCAGGACGGGTAAGAATTGCAGATTGAGCGAGTCGAGTCTGGTTCAGACAAGAGTTTGCTTTCAGTTGATCAATTGTGTCAAACTCTTTGGTCTCATCAGGAGGTAAGAGTAAGAGAAATGTACCTCCCAGTCAATCAAGCTTCCAAATTTTCTATGAATAAAAATCGGAAAAAAAAGGCAAAAAAAAAAAAACCGCTTTTGTATCTTCTAAATTTGGAGTTAATTACCCAAATAATCACTGAACTTTGCCAAAAATCTCTGGGTCACCGAATTTCAAAACTTCTTTAAATAGTTGATGGACTTTGTCAAAAGTTTTCATCAGGTCATCGAATTTCAAAATTTCTCAAAATAGTCACTAAATTTTGCCAAAAGTTTTCAGGAGAACTTCAAAACTTCCCTAAATAATCACCGAATTTTGCAAAAAGTTTTCAGGGGTTACTAAACTAGTAATATATGTGGTCCCAATTTGCAAAGTTGAGTGGTGCTTGATAACTTTTTGCAAAGTCTAGTGACTATTTAGAGAAGTTTTCAAATTTGGTGGCTTCTTGGGAACTTTTGAGACAGTTCAATGACTATTTGGGAAACTCACTTTAAATTTGTGTTCTATGTGATCAAAATAAATTGGGAAATAATAAAATAGCACGATTGGCATAGTGAATTCGTTCTCATTACAAATAAATTTGTATATTAAAGAAATTATACAGACTGAAGTAAATAAACAGAATAATTGTGGAAATCTACAAATTACAAATGCTTGAAAGCGTGTTGAGGAACCTATTTTGCCCACTGTATGAAGTTGTACATAATTATTCAAAATCTGCCTCCCTGTTCAAAGGGTAGAAGAGCCCTTGTAATTTATTTTTTCTTCTGGTCAGTTTTTAATCTGGGATCAATATTTAATGACGATCAAATTGTGATGATGATTTGATCACAATGAAAAACTGTTGAAGAAAATGTTAGCTCAAGTGTATAAATAATTAGTAGGGGGAAATGAAATAATATATATTTCGAGATTAATAAATGACCGGATATATTGGATTGAAAAATCTTTATTTAATTATATAGCTTGAGTTATACAGCTTTGATAAAAGTTCAATGGCTTGATTATACGTATACTTGGAAGTCAAAATATTTTTCACTATACCTGGTCAAATTTTTTACCAAAGTTGACTGGTCGATCAAATTCGAATTTTCGTTAATTAAAGGTCAAAAATCAGATTTGACCGTGTAAGTCTGATCATATATTTAGAAGAGTTTTAAGTTACAACTTAAATTTCAAGTTCTTAAGAGGATAAACGGAACAAAATGTCCTTATCTTCACTGTTACCCAATCTTCTAATTTTTAAGCTTTTTCACCTTTAATTACATATTTGGTTGCGTAAAACGTCATTTCTTCCATTTCCATCCAAATCCATTGTTAAGTGAATGAGTGGAGTCATTTTTTATTTTTTTTTAAATGGAAGGGTATCTTTGTTTTATAACATTTTCTTTATCTTCTTCCTAAAGACCGCAACTCATTTCATATCGAAAAACTGCACTTGAGGAATTTGTATTGAAAGCTTGTGAACTCGAGGAATTTGTATTGAAAGCTTGAAGCTTTGGGTGCTAAGGCGGAAAGATTGCACTCAAGAATCCACAAGAATAATGATTGAAAACGCAGTTATGTTATACATTCAAACTCAAATTCAGACTTAAATTTAGATGGAATACGTCGATATATGATTGGACAATTTGAATTTTCTGACACACTACTCTGTCTATGTACTTCCTATTTTTAAATCTGGCTAAGGGGCTTTATTCTTGAAATTGTACGTCTTCACCAATCCAACAGGCTGGAAATGGGTCCTAAGAGGTCAACAGCTAAAGAGAGACCTGGGATGCATTAAGGCATAAAAGCTAAGATAGAATGCCCATTCCTCAAGATAACCGATCCGGTTACACTTGTTGACAACCCACAATTGATTTTGTGAATTTTCAAACAATTTGTGAAACTCATGGTCCGTTGAAGCCCAACAGGCACTAATATGAATGTGTTTGTAAAAACAAGCCAAATGTGACACCTACTTAATGGCAGATTTGGATGGAAATTCATGGAATGACGTTTTGCACAATTAAATGCATGATTAAGAATGAAAATATCAAAAAATGGAAGGTAGGGACGTTGTAAAATTACATTTGAAGGTATGGACGTTTTTAACTATTTACCTTTCTTAAAATGCTACATAACCTAAGCCTTTCTAAATGATACATTTATTTAAGTGCATATAAAAACTCGAGATTATGGATTTTCATAACAATCATCTTTTAAAATTAACAAATAGGCTATTGGAATGGATACTATTTTGGGATTCTTGATGCGGTCTTGATGTCTACTCGAACAATTTGGACTAAAAATATTAAAGAATTTAAGGATTGAAGGTCATTTAGGAAGATCAAAATTGTTGATCAAAATTAGTAACATGGCACATTCTATTTTTTATTCACATTTCCATTAGGGCATCTCTAACCATGCACCAAATTAATGTGAAAATACTAATTCGGTGCAAAATTCCATTCCAGCCATACACTAAAACTCTATACTAATTGGTGCAATTTGGTGACTTACTATTCATTAAATGTGATTTTGGTGCAACACTATTCATTTGATTTGAGTTCCGAGTTTTTCATAATTCATATTTTCCATTCACTTTATACGACAGCAATATTTAATTCATGTTATATCATTTTTACATCATTTTATTTAATGTTATAAATTCATTAATATTTATTTTAATTTGATTATTATTTTTAATTAACATTTAATGATTTATTTTAACTTTATTATTTTTTAATAGTAGTACTAAGTGTAATGGCTTTTTAAGAAAATACTTGGTGTACAGATTGAAGACAACTTTGTAAAATGGTATAAAAATTGAATAATGTTATGCGTAATAATCCATAAAAATTACATCAACGATCAATCTCATATAAAAGTTGCAAAAGTTGCGCCAGAAATTGGAGATGACCATAGAGATGTTTTAAGCTTCTGGAAGGCTGGAACCTTAAATTTGGATGGTAAAAAATAAAATAAAATAAAATAATAATAAGAATTTGGCAAAGAATCCACGCATCATCCTCCCTCTCCAATATGGACGCATACCCGCCGGCGAAGAGCTGGAGCATTCACACGCGCCGGGAAATAACCAGCAAGTACGAAATCCACGAGCGCGTGGGCTCTGGCGCGTATTCTGACGTCTATAAGGCCCGCCGCCTCTCCGATTCCCTCATAGTCGCCCTCAAGGAAATCCACGACTACCAGTCGGCCTACCGGGAAATCGAGGCCCTCCAGACGCTGCAAAAGTGCCCCAACGTCATCGTTTTGCACGAGTACTTCTGGAGCGAGGATGAGGATGCAGTGCTCGTCCTCGAGTTTTTACCCGCTGATTTGGAGGCCGTGATAAAGGCTGCGAAAAAAGAGTGGGAAAATGGGTTGACTCCAGGGGAGATCAAGCGATGGATGGTGCAGATTCTGTGCGGGGTCGATGCGTGTCACCGGAATTCGATCGTTCACAGGGATTTGAAGCCTTCCAATTTGCTGATCTCGGCTGACGGCGTTCTCAAGCTCGCTGATTTTGGCCAGGTTTGTCTTTTTCTAGCTGTTCATTATTTTATTGTTTTTCGGTTTGAAGTATGGTTGCTTATGCTCTGTATGTGGCAGCGTGTTCAACATAGATATTTAAATAAATACACATGCCTGTTTCTAACCATTTTAAGTTCTTAAATGAATTGGGTAACATGAAGGTTGTAATATTAGAAATTTAGGGCTTCTTGAAATGTGAAGACAGATAAATTGGAAGATTGGGTTCTAAAGTTTGATGGAAAGAGAAAAAGATTACGGTATTTTACAGCCCAATTCAGCATCAATAGCTAATGGCTAATGCACTGCATTATGGAATATTCTTTCGAAGTTTTGCATTCCCTGATAATTGATTATCAGAACTGGCTGTAGTATTCAGACTCGTTAAAGAGATTGAAATCTATGAATGGAATAGATTTTATGAAGGTGGCTGTGGCTGATTTACTACGGAGTGGTTGCAAGGATTTTTTTTTTTTTTTTGGGCATTTAGCGGTGGAAATTTTGGGGCTTGGAAGCTGTCACTGTACATTTTGCAGATGGAGAGCTTGAGAAGGGCAGAAAAGGATTCGTAAGAGTATAGAATCAACATCTCAATTAAATCTTATCATGGGCTGGATTCAAGGCTACCTATATCCCCTTCATAGGTATTCAGAATTAATTGATGCTGGAATGCATCTGGAGATACCGAGGAACATGCTTTGAGTTGTGCCCCGTTCAGTGGCTTCTGCAGTGAAAGTTTCTGAGAAATTTTTTACTTTATTGCTGTGAATGCTGTCCATCTGTGTAGAAAGATAATCTATTGCCTGCTCATAATATATAGAGAAGCTGATGCTTGGTTGTACTATTTGAAAGAATCAATTATGAAGCAATTTGGGGACCATGGATTTTGTCTTTCTTGGTTCATGTAGAATTCGAGACTGAAGTGAGTTGTCGAAGGTGCATGGTCTGGGACAGAATAGATTGTGGTTATTAACTTAATTTTGTAAGAACTATTGGATCAGGACGTAATCATTTGTGTTTCATATATTATCAAAAGTCAAAACCGGGTCACAAGTACATAGAGTGGAGTACCATGATTTTTGAACAAAAAGGTACCTTGGCTTGACACCATCTGGTAGTTATTTTTTAGATCCAAGTTAAGTATAATTGAACAAATTTCTTTAACCCAAGGCTGATTTGGCATGTTTGGTACATGAGTGTGAATGCTTTGGATATTTTTGAACTTCTCTATGATTAAGGTGTATTCTCTTTTGATTCAAGTTTGCTTGAATTTGGGCGGGTTGGAAAGAGGGGTGGTGGTCAGCTACGGCTCAAGGGAAGCTGATCAAACTATGTGCCTTCTGTCATTTCAGTTTGCAATAACAGCTAGATGAAGGGGATGGAGGAGGTGATGGGTTGGGCATTTGTCAGTGAGTAGAGAGATGAAATCTATGAATCTCTAATGTCCATACAACTGCCATGTATAGCGATGCTATGATAATTGTCTAAGGTGTCATACTGTACAGCAGTATATATGATGCTCTACTCTAGTTTCTCTGTCTGCACAATGGTCAACATGAAATATCATCTTCACGTTCTTCTGATATATGTGTTCTAATGGAAGCTTTTAACAAAATGCTAATATACAGCAAATGTTTATTTGTTTAATTTTATTTGTCTGTTTTGACATCTGAATAAACTCATCCTGAAAATGGTGAAGCTGCCACTGCAATCAGATGGAGATTGACAGCTTCAATTGGAAGTCTCCAATGTAGAAGACTCCCCTGAACACATCGCTTTCCTTTTACTTACTTTTTTTAACAAATTATACTGAAGATTTTTATTGTGGTAATGTGGTAAGGGCTTTCCCACTGGCTTATGTCACAAGCATTCATCTTCTTTTAATAATATTTTGGTGGTGGTGAAGGAGGGGGGGGGGGGGGTTCAGGTAATTAGGTGGTATCTGCTAAGGTGCTAACCTGCTGTAGACATATTATGGGAATTTGGACCGAGTTGTGAAGCATAACCACAAAAAAAAATAATTCTTCTGGTGTCACTTGTTTAATATTTAAATAATTAATTATGAAAGGAACAACATAAATATGATGTTTGTTATGATGATTATATGTTGATTGGGATCGTTTGGGCTTAGCCAATGACAAACACAGATTTAACCAAGTAGCAAAATGGACGGGAGTAGTGCTAATAGTGAACTTAAAGATATGACTACTAAAAATCACTTTAAATGAGGTAATTACAATGATGCATACTTTTGAAGTTTAATTTTGGAGATAATCCCCGACAGCGTAGAGTGGAAATAAAAAAGGATATATGTAGCCAATCACTACCAATGCGAATAATGCTTTGTTGAGCTGTGATGAGATGAAGATTAGGTAATGACTCTGCTTGAAATATACTAACAAAGCTTTTAATTCTCAAATAGCTTCTGAAAATTTAGTTTTCCATACTTTATTACTTTCTCTCAACTTCAGTGAATTGAACTTTCATTTCTCAAGTCCCAAACGATGTCTTTCATCTTATCACTAGAGTTCAATCATTTTGCATAGTTTGGGCTGTAATTTTTTATCAAGGACTCGTTAGTATTTCAGACTTTCTTTTTAGCTCTGCAATCATCTAAAAATATAAAGTTGGAGGCTCATCTTTTAAATGTACGTCACCTAAATTACAAGCGGAGATCATAGTGAACACACTGCTTGGCGAATAAATGTGCATGATATGTGAAAAAATGATGTTTCTCAGCTTCCTTCGGGCATTCTTTAACATGATTAAAAATCTGGAGGTATATGAGACATTATCTAGATGGTTACTTAATTGAGGATGTGATTCGTGGGAATATTTAGTGATGAAGCAGTTGTACAAGTTTTCTCTATCACAAATCTTCTTGTGCATTCCAATGTGTCGATATGTACATTTGTGTGTACAATTAATTTGGTGACATAAGTAGATAAATCTGCAGATAATGGAAATTCACAATTCTCGATGGTAGTGTCATCATCACAAAAGATCAGATATTGTTCAGCACATTAGATTACGATCTTCGTATTTGTCTTCCAGGTCATAATAGGTCCTTATAGTTTCTAATATTGTTCAGCAAGTTAGACTATATGATCTTTGTATTTCTCTTTCGAGCAAAATAGGTCGTTATTATGGTTTCGGACTATCTTGAAGTGCAAATACCTTCGCTTTCTGAAAGTGAACCAGGAAATTCCCATTTTCTGTTGCAGCATTTTAATGTGTCATGAATTTCATAACAACGTTCTAGTTGACTTCTATCTTTATTATGAATATCACCGCAGAGAGTTTGTTTGAAGTTTTGTATATTGTATATGAGATCATATGTCTTGTATTTATACATGCAGGCTAGGATACTTCTGGGATCTGGATTTGCTGCTGTTAATGATAATACCCAGTCTTATCAGCAGTCTCTCCCAAACGAAGCTACTATAGGTCAATCACCTGAAGTTGGTCGCTTACTGGACGATGTTCGTCAAGGAAGCAAATTAATTCAAGAGCAAGGATCTTCAGGCAAAGAAGAATGCACTGTTGAGCCAGATGAACTCAGAATTAGCGACTTCCCGAATGAAATTGATATAGACACTGTTACTCATGATGGAGATGCATCGAATATTGCTACATGCACCACGAGTGATAGAGAAGAAGTTCCTTCCCGACATTCCTTTTGTTACGAGGCTGAGGCTGGAGACAATGGGGATGGTTCCCTTACCTCCTGTGTTGGAACTCGATGGTTCAAAGCTCCCGAGCTGCTTTATGGTTCTACAAACTACGGGCTGGAGATTGATTTGTGGTCACTGGGTTGTATTTTTGCGGAGCTTTTGAGTCTCAAACCACTTTTTCCTGGCAATTCAGATATTGATCAGCTGGGCAGAATTTTTAATGTGTTGGGGAACTTATCTGAAAGGGTTTGGCCTGGTTGCACAGAACTCCCTGATTATGAAATCATTTCATTTGCTAAAGTAGAAAATCCGATTGGTTTGGAAGCATGTCTGCGTAAATGTTCTCCCGATGAAGTTCTTCTTATCAAAAAACTACTATGTTTTGACCCATCTGGCAGAGCTACTGCCATGGAATTGCTCCATGACAAGTATTTGAATGAAGAACCTCTACCCATACCAGTATCTGAATTGAGGATTCCTTCTAAATGCGGGAGGCAAGACGAGGATTCTGATAACGAATGGGGTAACTACAGGGATAATGGCTCGGATTCTGACATTGATGGCCAATTCGACGTTACAACCACAGGGAATGGTTTTTCAATTCGGTTTCCTTGAGGTTAATAAGAAATTACATATCTCCAGGATGTTGGGTAAATCTTATTTTTCTAATTATAGTTATCATCAACTCCTTATGAATTTTGAAAGAAATGGTTGTGCAACTATCAGTTTGTGTTGCACAAATTTATGTTTGTTAGTAATATTTGTGTGAAGAAATCTTAAGTTTGTACCAAGAAAAGCTTTCTGAAGTGTGAGTTTTATGAAGGGTTAATCTGTACGTGACCTCTGAAGATGTCTTGGCCCACGAACATTTACTTCTAATAAGAGCATTAACTTATTTATAGTTAATAGTCATTTTATTGCATAAATATTTCTTTCTTTGAATTTGTTCATTGTTTGAAATGCTAGTCATTAACTATATTTCATAAGAAAATGTTATATGTACAAACTAGGGATCATCTCAATGTGGGGTGATACCATGATAGTAAATTACAAGGTCTATAAAGTGAATTTTATATTTCACGTTGAATTAAACTTATAACTTCACCCAACATGATATGAGAATGGTTCTAGTCTGTATTATTCTATTTCACAAGTTTAGACACCTTTAGCTGCAATTTTTTGAATAAAAGGCGATATGCATAATATATTATGTTTGGCATTTACACGTCTGCATTGTTTCCCTTTCATGTATGGTTACTCGATGCTATGAAGAGACATACTCATACCCTTGTGTGCAAGACGAATTCCTACTATATAAAAGGGGAGAGAGATATAACTGTCGTTCTCTCGAGTGCTTGAATGCTACACCCTAAATGGAAAAAGTCTTAATAGTTGAAAGTATTTTTGTTAAAATTTGATTTCTTTGAATTTATCTCTATTTCTGATTAAATCTTCTTGTTCATGGATTTTCATGTTTGAATTAAGGAAATGTGAATATGTAATAATTGGCATTTCCCTTATTCGATCGATCAAGTTCATTATATCTTGATTCTAATTCATAATTTTGATATTTCTTTCGACTTCTTTAATAAAACAACTTATGCTTAAATATTGTACCATATATTTCAGTTTGACCAAAAATGATAAAATGCATCATGTTTACTTGCAGATTATTTAGAGGACATTTCAACTGGATTTCTATTTTTATTTTTATTTTTTTTCTGAGGGTGGACATTTTAATAGTTTTAAACGTTAAAACTTGCCTTTCAACTTTCAACCTAAAAAACCATTATATATTAGTACGGCCATTCTAGGCCTAAAGGGAGGCTCTACGGCAAAGCCGACGGGAGGGCAGGAGTGGTAAAGCAACATTTGATTTTATTTTTTTTAAATTTATATAAAAAAATAAAAAATTCATATATACAAAATTAATGGATATTATAATAAATTTCGAAAGAATAAATATATTAGCACCACAATTGTTGTCAGTGTCACCACATTTCAATTACAATCAACATTTTCAATTTTCTCTCGTTTCAGCACTTGTGTTTCCAACTTTTTTCATCGTATTCTTGTTTTGACCTTTTATTAATTTTCACATCTCATCTCTACTAAAGATTTCTGTCCGAAAAATTCGCTTAAATGGCGTAAATAAATTTATTTATCTCTCGTATTCTCAAATAAGCAAAATAAATAATAAATACAAAAGCTTGAAAAATATTTATCCCCCAGTTGAAGGTAGATGATAAAATATATGACAAGAACAAGTTAAAGAATACAAGTGCAAAACCGAGAAAAAAATTGACGACCTTCATTGTAATTAAAATGTGATACCGATTATAAAAATTGTGTTCGGTAAATAATTACCTTTTTAAAATTAACAGAGGCAACCAGAGAGTCAATGACCATCAAAGCAACCACATATTTAATATTTTCTATATAAAATTTATGGCAAATCCATCGCCAAACTTTGCATGAAACCCTAGCATTTTGCCTGGATGGACTTTGCTGGACGGCAGGGCCACGGAGCTCCTATTGGAGGGGACCTAACCCTGTCCGTCCAGGGCTCCTATTGGAGGGGGCACCAATTAGGCCCCCTGTTTGGACAAGGCCTACGTGGCCCTGTCCAAACATAATTATCCTTTATGTTATTGTGCCACGTAAGCGGTAATAAACAATGTTATAAATATTCCTCCCCCATAGCAAACTACATGGACTAACGTGACGAAGAAAAATAGACTGTCTAGAAATCCATCTAAATTCAAAAACTTTATCAAACAGCGACTTAGTAAAATTAAAATTTCATTTTCAAATTTATCTTTCTAATCTAGATTTAAAGATCCCCTAGATAGCAATCCAAAAAAGCATTAGACAACTTATGTCAAGTAGATTGAAATCTGTCATAGAAATCCATAGAATGCATTACCAAATGAATTATCTATTCGAAACTCATGTATGAATACAAGTTCAATATGAAAACAGAAACCAAACAATACAAAGATGTGCGGTACTCTAGGAACGATAATGCGCAATGTTATGTTTAACTATAACTACGAGAGCTCTTATGGTGTGCACAGGCTTCAACAAATACCTGATATATTTCCAGCCGCCAGAGACGGATTTGTGAACCAAAGCTTCAACACAATTTTCCATCACGAAATAGTATTAGCAATTTCTTATGTGAACTTTTGGCCTAACCGTGCAAACTTTGCTCCCCTACTCTTGAGGGAGGAGGGCAATCTCAATTTCTTGAAGTGATTTTCCTTTCGTCTCCATCACATTCCTCTTCACGAAGACCACTGCTAACAAACAGAATGTACAAAATATAGAGTACAAGAGAGCAGGACCAAATTGATCAAGCAAACGCAGAAACATCAGCCCAACTAAGAAATTCAACACCTGAGAAAAAAACGAGCAGCAATCAATTTTAAGTATCTAAAATTATTTACATTCCCATTTTTCATCTTTATTTCCAAATATTCAGCAACACAAGCGTATATGCAGTAGCTACATAGATAAAACATATATGTTAGAAAATGAAGGAATAGATATTAATTACCCAATGCACTGACATACAAAATGCCATTGCTTTAGCCCTGATCCGGCAGGGGAATATTTCTGGGAGTAAGAGACTGGGAACTGGACCAGCCCCAGTGGCAAATGTTAAGACAAACCTGCACAATGTTGCTCCAAATTGTCAATCCAATGCGATTCAATATTTCATTTATTTATGCTAGACACTTTTTTTTTTTTTTGGATTTTTTCATTTAGTGCTTGTTCAGTAAAATTTTGCAAAAATGGTAAACTTCAATTTTAACACACATTCATGGGACCATAACTTTTATCTAACTTTTCAACTAAACTCCAACTTTTATCAGAATCTGGTAAAAAAACTATTTCAAACAATCCCTTGTTATGTTCATAAAAAAAATATGAAGCATTTTGTAAGTACTATTTCTTCCTCTCCCCGAAGAAGCATCGGCATTAACATGAGTGTCGACAAGATACTAACGCGCTTTTTCCAAAAAAAAAAAAAGTACCAACACGACACTAATTAAAATAATTTTTTTTTTATATTATAAAGTAAATTTATTTTTTGTTAATTCCGATTGTGTTGGCAAAATGTCCAACAGTACAAAACCAAAAAATAATTTGAACAAGCCATTTGGCATTGTCGACACGTTTGTGTCGTGTTGGACACCAACTCAGCGACACCAGGAGAGCGTCGATATATCCTAGTCCCCACCGAATCCGAGTTCACTCCACTTAGCTGACATGTTGCTTGAAATGAATTGGAAAAAGTGAACGGGACTATAGAATTCACCTCCAACATTTTGGCAGGCTATGATTGTAAGAGGGTAATGAATTTTTTTCTTTTGTGTGGGTGGGGGGAAATGAGGTGGTAGAGTAAGTCCTCCATGTGCAAATTCTAGATTTTCCAGATTGTGGGAAAGGATGCAATGTGAACTCTGAATACTAGAAATCAACAGTGATTTGAATGTTAAGACATTCTACAAAAGTAAAAAGACCATATTAAGAATTCTTCTAGCATGGAACATATACTTTTCAGATAATAATTAGGTAGATAGATACCACCTCAAAACTTTTTCTTGACACAAATTAACTAAGCTAATGGATCCCTATATACAATATATTTAGGAAAGAAAGCCAAAATGAACACTTACAGAAGCATGCTAGCAGTCGATAAGTAAAAAGATCCAGAACTCGAAGAGAATAAGGCAGCTGTAAGAACTTGAAGAGCCATTGATACAGCCTGATTGGATAGAAAGTAACAAAGTGAATAGTAAAAGGAACGCCGATTTCAAAAGTGTATACTACTAACAAACATGTAGTGCTCTAGCAATAAGGATAAGCATTTTGAAATATACAAAATGAAGCAAGAATTGCAAGCTACAAATGGCAATCTGAATGAGATTTTTGAGGATGCAACGCACCCCACCTTAGAACCTCTAATGCTCAGACTCTTCGAAATGGTTGGAGAATCCGTATCAAACACGACACGACATGGGTATGGGGCATGAGTATGGGAAATGTGTTGATCCTCCAAATTTCAACCGAACACTCCGTTTTTGCTTCTTCTTTAGCTTTTCCTTTTCTTCCAGTTTCTGTTCTCTATAAACCTAGCACCGCTTTCGAGGGAGTGGAGAAATGCGACGACATTAAATTTTTCCTTCTTCTTCTTTCTTTCCCTTTTCTTTCTTTCTCCGTCCTTCCCTCTCATATCAGTTTTTAGGTTTGTTTATATAAAATGAAAATGAATTCAATATAGTTCTACTTAGTGTTCCACTAAGTCCAAATTATAGTTAGTCCCTTATTTTCTATTTTATATAACATATTGTAATTAACTTCTCATAATTGAAATTTAAACCTCAAAATTCTATTTTATTCGTCTTAACCCTTATTCAATACTCATTTCCTTCTTTTTGAACTATTGATTTTGGTCTATTCCAAATGACGCCTTGGGTTAGTAAAAAATTGAAGCTTGAAAGACGTACCCACCTACCCATGTCTGAAATTTGAATTCCTTTTAGCCATGTCACCATATCCTAAATTTTAGAAAATAAAAGATATAACACTTATACATGTACCCGTATCCAAGTCCGAACATCATATCTTGGAACATTGCAGTTATGGAGAGAACAAGTGGGGGATAGGTTACCTATATGAAGAGTTCTCTACATTTTTTATTTTTCCTATCGATGAGGTCGTGTTGCATAACGAACGACAACTAAAATATCTACTGAACAAGGGTAAGGGCAAGGAACGAGGTCTGGTGGGACGGTGAGTCAGAACGTGTTACAAGTGACGAGAGGGCGGAGTAGGGAGTCATCCACTTTCTATTAGCAATATGGGGCATACAAATTGGCAGCCATGATCTATACCCCTGTTCCCATCCCTATTGCAAAATTGTTTTACATTTATGTAATTCTTCAATTCTCGAGAAACTAAGAAGATGAATCACTTTAGAAGCACAGTGATCTTTCCCTAATATCAAAGTTTCGGGCAAAGAACTTTACCATGCCAAAGAAGCTCCAGAGGAGGAGGACCCTCCTTCCTAATTTGTCAATCAGTACCAATGCAATTATAGAACCTGAAGTTAATAAAAGTACATGTAACATTAAGGAAAAAGGGAGATGGTATTATATATTAACGAGAAATTATGAAACAAACTCAAGTGACAATTTGGGAATGTATGCATACAAGGAAAAAGGGAGATGGTATATAAAGAAATTATGAAACAAATTCAAGTGACACTGGGAATATAAGTATATATACAAATGAAAGATGAGTGAACTACTTGCCTACTAAATTTGCAATCCCCACAAGACCATTTGCCAGGTTCGAGGACACTCCAGCACGTCTAAATACAGTTGAAGAGAAATAAAACACAGCATTTATTCCAGATAGCTGTTGTAAAGCAAATAGGGTTGATCCAATAAAAACAACTGCAAAAGGATTGAGTGAATAACAAAGCAATTTTCAAGTAGAAAACTAATAGAGGGAAGATTTTGCAGCAGCCAAATCAGGGTAGACAGCAAGATAACTAATAGATATGAGGAATAAGATTAAATATACCCTTGAAAATATGATACAGCGGCGTAATTATATCTACCTCTGGAGTGCCGACCATAGAGCAATTCTGCAATCTTTACAGAATCATTTTCATCCCCTCTGTCTGTCTTGGAAAGCTCCGCCATAGCATCTTTGACATGCAAACCTCCAAGAAGCTTCTGAAATTCAGCTTCTGCTTCAGAACTTCTTCCTTGCTAACACATTGGAAAAACAAAAATATTTTTCAGTCAATAAATTCTAGTAATCAAATCAGTCAATTCATACAGTGCAACAGTCTTGTCATATTATGTCAGATGGGATGATCACATGCAGTGTGGCATTTAAGAAACAATAGTATTACTGTTTCATCTCATTGACATATCAAATGCAATACTAAAAAAATTCAGTTGAATGCAGAATTTTAGTTTTAAGATGATGGAGACAGGCGAGAAAGCAAGATACAACTGTGTCATGACAAGCTATGTTTTGAACGAAAGATGCAGAGATAACGTGAGAAAGGAGAACCAAATGGAGGAACATAATGTATATTTCCCTTTCTTCAGAAAAAAGCTATCATGGACGCCTGCAGTTTAATACTAAATGAAGCACTTAAAAAAGGATGTATGAAGGAGAGAATATATTAACAGTTACAGCATGAGAGGGGGAAATTCCAGTTTCCTGTTTTATCAATAAAAAGTCACATTCGTTTACTGTAACTTCTCGAGGTCCTCATTCTTTCCAAAAAAAAGGCAAGAAAAGGAAGGAAGCATACAATGAAAAAAAATCATAGTAATAGATTTAAAAACCTTGTATAGCCAGTGGGGAGACTCAGCACAAAACATCATTGCAAGAACCAGTATGGCAGCAGGAATTGTTGATATCCAAAAACAGATGCGCCACCTGAGAAAGCATCAAGTCAGGAGTGCATATATAACTCGCATCCAACTGTGTTTTTACTAGAAGAAAAGAAATTTATAAATTCCTTTAATATTGCCAGCTCATCTTTCACTGGTCTTCCTTACCAGCCAACGGTACTCGTGACAGGAATCCCAATAAGGAGAGCCCCCATCAGCCCAAGACATGTTGCTATTTGAATAAAGCTTCCATAAGTACCTCTCACATGAGCAGGAGAAATCTGATTGCCAGTACAAAAGCGAATTATATAAGGACCCAACCTTCTTGGACTAGAAAATTGAAAAAGAAAAATCCTTCTACGTATTCAATAGCACAAGTTGTGTGGCAAACATTGGTAATTACTCTACCTCTGTCACATAAAGAGATGCAACTGGGGGACCCACGCCCAAACCTGTCCCCACTATAAACCTCCCCAGAAGCATGCCTGCCAAGTTTTTTGTAGTTGCACTGGAAATTTACATGTATTAGCACCTTTTTCAATTTCAAAGATAAGAAAAATGAACTACAAAAGGTTGCAAGAATTAATCAATGGTAAAATTTGGTGCCATACACGTGAGCTGTAAGCTTTATCAGAGAATTGATGAGTTTTATTTACCATGAGAAAACTGTTAGAAATAACAAGGAAAAAAAAAACTGCAGCAATTTGCTCATCTTCTTCAAATGGATTTGTCATATTTCAAAATAGAAACCAAAAAAGGGGGAAAAGAGATGGTTTTTAGCGATTAATGGAAGCTGCGCCAGTCTAATTTTGTCAGGCATTTTAATCTCATTTTCATGTCTTCCAGCTTAGGGTATAAGATGAATAAGGTATTTCAATAGTGAGCACAAATCTCCACAGCTAAAAAGAACCAATTTCACTGGAGTGATTAGATAATAACTCTAATCTTACACTTCATTTTCGACCATTTAAAGTGAGATGTTCCATATTGTAGTCTAATTCATAATGTTACTGTACACTTGTTTGGATGGTGATCTGAGTAGGGTAGTTTCCTTGCTAACTTCATACCACTGCACCATTTTTTTTTTTTTTTTAATAACCTTGGGTGTCCGGGCCAGCTCAAACGCATCTGGACTAATATCACGGAACCCTGAAATTTACAGTCGAGTACTCACCTTAGTGGCCCTGAGGGGAGCACCGTTTTTTTTTTTAAGAAGTAGAGTTTCCAACAACTTTTATTGCTGAAGTTTACATATCAATGCAACTTATAAATCATAACCATTTTACACAAATCTGTCTTCCGGGTAGGACTATGGGAAGTAAAAGCTAGGAGATTAGTTTATTGTAGATCATATAGCTTAGTTAATCAACAGTTTATATAATTGATTATATATCTCTATGCATAAAGGTATGCTTTATCATCTATAGATTGTCCACAAATGGTGCACTTTTTTCAGGTGCTCAAAATAAAACCACATAGAGATATAATTCTAAGGCTAGCTTAAGAGCTTAGAAACTGCATGTATAACTATAGGTTTCTATAAACATGTTACAGGAAATAGCAAATTGAAAGAAATGATTTCAGATAAATGGTATTCTTTTGCATTCTCCCCTTTCGTCTAGTAAAGTTCTTCTTGTCTCTAACCAAGGACATTGGCCTAGTGCCAAACCAAGTGAATTCCTTGCGTTTGTTCTCTTGTATATGTTATGCCTACAATCACGACCTTGGGGCTTATGAACAGTGCATCAGGAAAATTATAATTAATCGGATAATGTTCATTAAAGAACAGTAAAACAATTAATAACCACTTTAATGTTGCCAATGTGATCTATTTCACAAACATAAAGATACAGAACTAGACAGATAATCGGATCCTAAAATGTAAGTAGATGGGGTAAAAGAATTAATATGATACTAAGCAGGGTTGAAATTGGAAGATTATGAAGTAAAGAATTTGAAGTTACCATAGGGAGCCACCCACAAGCATTGGAAGTGCACACAATTGAAATGTCCTACGGCGCCCAACTTCATCCGCGATCCAACCACTGATCAGGGATCCAACAAAAGCACCAGCGAGTAGAGTACTTACCACCAATCCTTCATTTCAAATACAAAGATGGAAATCAAAATAATAAATTACAAATACTTAAAATAAATAGAATGTGCAATTCACCTTCTGCCATTGTATTCCCAAGGAAACCAAGATCAACAGAAATGGTTTCAAGTGGTTCATTTACAACTCTGTGGAGAAAGAACAGATCGTAGTCAGTAAATGAGCAAAATAAACAGAAATGCAAGAAAGAAATAGCGACTTAATGGAAAAAGTAATTTCAAAAACAAACCCAAGATGGTAGCCATATAAGAAGGAAACTATAGTTGCCACAAGAACGTGAGGAAAAGAAAGCTTCCAAGAAGGAACATTCGTCTCTTGCTCCGAATCACTTAGTAATTGCTCTGAAAAACATACTGAAATAAGAAAGATCATCATAGGGAGCATACAAAACATTACGCAAATTTGGTATATATTTTCTTGGAAGTACTCAATGTTCTTCCCTTTCTCTAATGTAATCTATCAATCATCAATTTAAGTATTTAAGTACAGAGTTATGACGTCATTGCCAAATAGGTTCATGAAATATATTGTATCGTGATCATCAAGGAAAAGCAAAATGATCCCAAACGCTAAAGTTATTGAAATTAGCTCCACATGGATGTAGACTTTTATTTGGTTTCCAAATTTCAAAGACAAGATCAAGGAATAAAGTTTACCTGAATAATCTTCCAGGTCATTTGAATCCATGTAATCCCTCGGTGCAGTCATCCGTTTATGCATAGAGGAGGAGACTTGCAAGTTTCCCAACATGCCAAAACTCTAAAGGTCCGGTCCTTCCAAATTACCCAACTTGAAGAGACTTCTGCCCAATGTTACAACAATTTAGCTCCATGTCATTATCAGGGGCATACCAATTCACGTACCCTAAAAATATACTTCTTATGCAATTCAGCTTTGCATATTTTATATTTATAATACAATGCAACATCCGTTTAGACAGCATATATATATTGATATAAAAGAACAGGTTAAAACTGATGTTGAATTCGATATTTGTTTTGCTCTTCACGATGAAAATACAGAAAAATGCTAAATGCATAGTTTCAATTTATACTAATTTTTTACAATTCAATGTTGATTCAGCAAAACAACTTCAACAAGAAGTCTAGTTTGTAAAAATTCAAAAACAATTATCTCAGATCTTGACTACAAAGTGCGCACACATAACATAAAATTCATTCGATATTTATAATTCAACACATTTGTTATTATAGAAATGTCATACAAATACATATAATTGAATCTGAAAGCTAAATTACTATGCAGAAGAAACTAAAACAATTACTTTGATAATAAAAATCAAATTCCAATAAATTCATAAAACTGAAAGCAACATCAAAACGATTTAAACTCCGTTACCTTATCTCGTATCCTGATCATCCACTGTAAACAAGTTTTAATCAAAATTCATAAAGACAGAGAGAGAGAATAACTCGAAACTTCACGAAGCTGAGAGAGAGATTTGATAATGTACGCAAGTGGGGTTTTGAATTTTACTTTCCCCTTCTTCGGTGTCCTTTTATATGACTTAGAGGTGAAAATAATGAGACGGAACCACCCAACACATGATGGTGTTTAATGATAGAAGGTAATTATGCATAGGTCCTCAATCTATTGTAAGAGTTCAAATTTTTCTCCAATCATATATTACAATTGCACAAGCAACTTTCAATTTAAAAAAACTATCGAAATCTTAGTCAAATTATCAGAGTTGGAATTGTTTCGAACTTAATGTTCCCAAATATGTTTATTACCAAGGTTGAGATTTGTTGTTTCGAAATTTAGACCATGTTTGGCCTCCATTTTTTCAAAATTCTTTTTTTAAAACTTATTTTCAATCACACATTCCACAATAAAAAGGTTTTTTTTTCTTTTTTAATAATGCATTTTTCAAAAAATCATTATTCTAAAATATATTTTCTTACTAAAATGAGGGCTCAAACAGACTTTCTGTTCCCAATACATTTATTATCCACAACACATCACATCTCTCAACAAATGAGTACACATTAGAAAGGTATAATGAGCCACATTTTTCAAGAAAATGTGATATATTGATTTGAATAACAAGTTCGTGTCGACATATTTGAGCCCAAATATCATCTAGTCCTCTTCTGCTTAGATTTATAAATCTAAGCTTGGTTTCTCAACTTTGTTGTTCAAAAATTTAACGTAAGACGTGCTAATGAAAGTGAAATAACAACTTAGTCCCTATTTAACAATCATTAAAATGAGTTTTGCGATAGTATTTTTTTATGAGCGTGTAGTTAAAAAATAAGAACAATTTTGAATTTACTCGCAAATTTTTTTTTTTATTGTGAGAATAAGTGTAAAATAAGTGTGAAAAAAATATTTATTTTGATGATTGTCAAACAGGGCGTAACCAAGTTCTCGATATCTCCCAAATTAGGACTTGTATTTCAAGAATAATGAAAAGTTTAGGACCAACGTGTTATTAGAACAAATGGTGCAATGTTCGTAATGACGATGATGATGATGTCACATACAACTTAAGCGGTAGAATGGGATGGTACGTCCGTAATATTAGTAGCAATGTGAGGGCTGAAGTGTCAGATAATTTAGATTCTTCACTAATTTGGAGACACCTGTCAATTGGAGAAACATGCGAACTTTGTCTACACGTGATTTTTATTCTGCCGAATCTAACGCATAATTTATCAATGGTCCGTGACACGACAGAGGTCCAGGGAAAATTGGGCAGCGTTAGGAGGGTTTAACATTTTGGTCCTTTAAATTTATAATATTTTATAAAATAGTCCTCTAAACGTTACAGATAAAAAAAACTAAGCTCAATTCTTAAATTTATTGCTTGTTAACCCCTCTAATCAACTAATGAAGAAAATGTCGTTCAGAAAAGATGATATTGAGCAAGAAGAAAGAACCAATTCAAAATTACTTCCATTTGAATCACTAACCATGGTTCATGTTATCGAGAATGTGCACGTGAAGTAGTATAGAATGTATCTTTAAATTTCAAGAATACGCTTTAAAATCTTTTGATTGAGACTAGTGAGATACAATAATGTTAAATTGATAAGAATCGTTAACATTTTTATTTGAAAATTAATATTGCAAATTGACCCAAACCTTTCATTTGTTAATTTGACTGTTAGTTGACCCGAGAATTAATATTGACCATAATTTTGACTAATTTTAAAAAGATAAAATGGTAACTTTACATTTTTCAACAAAAAAATAATTAAAATATATTAATAATTAAATTTAAAAACAAATACACTATTCATCTTCTTCTCCACTTATTCCCTCACACTCACCCACCCCAAAACCAAAACTCACCAAAATTAGCATAGATTTTGGTGGCCAATAATCGATACAGATGACTTTCAGCTCTTCAAGCGGTGACCAAAATCAATCAATGCCAATTATTGAGTGAATTAGCGTCAAGTTTTTGCATAATAAATATAGCCCTTGTTTGGCCCCCATTAATTTCAATTATATTACATTTCATTTTTCTCTCTCATATTTTTCAATTACACAATCTTCTATAAAATAATATTACACGTAAATAAAAAACATTTCTTGCTTTTTCAACCCCTCATTTAAAAAAAAAATATTATTCCACCATTTTCATTTCCTCAAAATGGAGGTCAAATGGGGACATAGAAGAAGAAGAATCGTTGATGGCAAAGTTGATTGGTAAGAGAATTCTCGACAAAGGGTGGTTGGTGGCGCAATCTTCTAAGGTCGAGTTCAATGGAATTCAGCTTACTACCACGAACCCTCCTTTTGCTCCAGTTCTCAATGGATAGAAGCATTCGTCCCTGAACCGTAATGTGTCTTAAACTCTCTCTCTCTTCAAATTCTTGTGTTGACAATTTTTTTCTAAGAAACTAATTTCACTGACAAGGATTTTGTGCTAGCTAACTGGAGTGAGAAATGGGTGGGAATTTTGGTGGGTTTTGGTTTTAGGGTGGGTGGGTGTGAAGGTGGTGAGTGGAGAAGAAAATGAATAGTTTTTTTTTTTATATATATTTAATTATTAATATTTTATAATTTTTTTTTTGAAAAATATAAAGTTACCATTTTATCATTTTTAAAAATAGTCAAAAATATGATTAATATTACTTCTTTGGTCAACTAACAGTCAAATTAACTGTTTTCCATCATTTGGACTTTAACTGTGAATTTTTAAAAGATTTGGCATCGTGGATGATACAAATGAAAGGTTTTGATCAAATCTACTAATAAACAAAAGATTTGGTACCTCGATTGCAATTTTCCCTAAAAATTATGTTTGGGAATCAAACAAGTCCTTAAATAAAACTTGAACTTTACCAAAACATGCACTCAGGTTCTATACCCTAATTACGCATACTTGCTACTACTATTATAATTTACAATTTTAAAAACTGTATAAAAATTAAAATAAAATTGGAAAAATTGCAGCAGAAGTACCAAACCTTTCGTTTATTAGCAGACTTTGCCCAAACCGTTGATTTGTGCCACCGTAAGTACCAAACCTTTAAAAAATATGCAGCTCAAGTCCAAAATGACGGTTTCCGTTTGTTTAACCTCAAAATCAGTCAGTTGACCTCAAAATCCGTCAGTTGACCCCAAAAATTAAAAATTTAATAATTTGACCACATAAGACAAGGCTAAAATGATCGTTTTACTATTTTAATATAAATAAATTAATTAAACTAATACACACACACACACACACATATACGTATACATATACATATACATACAACCTCTGTATGTATTTCTTCTCGTCCCGACCTACCCAATAATGGGGAAAACCATTCTTGCCATATGCCACCCGCCATCCACCGTCCGGCCATACCCGTAAATCACTGCCCCCACTCCCAGTTTTATCCGACAATTTATGGTCCAACTCCCAATCATCTTCAAATTTCGAGACCGCATAATTTGCCCATGCTTTGATTAACTGGCAAGAGACCCCCCAATACTCATGTTTTCAAGGCTAATGTGCGGGGGCTGCGGAAGGAAGAGGTGAAGGTGGAGCTTGAAGATGATTGAATTCTGCTGATAAGTGATGAGAGGAAGATAGAGTTGGAAGATAAGGGCGATAAATGGCATAAAATTGAAAGGAATAGCGAGAGTTTTGTGAGGAGGTACAGGTTGTCGGAAAATGCCAAAATGGATCAGTTGAAAGGAAGCATGGAGAATGAGGTTTTGACTGTATAAATGTGGAAGCCAATAACGTTTATGTGAAATCAATTAAGATTTTTGGCTGATTTTGGGTTCAATTTGTCAACCAGACAACGTTTTTGTGGGATTGGGGGATGGGGGTTGGGGTTGTTGGAGGAGATGATCAATTTTTCTTTTTCCTTTTTTTATTGTTTTATATTAAAATAGTAAAATGACCATTTTAACCTTGTCTTATGTGGTCAAATTATTAAATTTTTAATTTTTGAGGTCAACTGATGGATTTTAGGGTCAATTGACGGATTTTGAGGTCAAACAGATGGAAACCGTCATTTTGGACTTGAGCTGCATATATTTTTTAAAGATTTGGTACTCACGGTGGCACAAATCAAAGGTTTGGGCAAAATCTGCTAATAAACGAAATATTTGGTATTTAGGCTGTAATTTTCCCAATAAAATTTGAGTTTTTCAGATTTGGATTTGGAGTCGAGAGTTGAACCAAGATTGGTTTGATCCTCGAGCGACAACTATTCCAAATTTCAATTTAAAAAATGTATAAAAATTAAGTTAACATTCGAGTTTTTCGTTTTTGAATTTGGAATCGTGAATTAGATCAAGATCGTTTGATTCTCGTTTGTAATACGCAAAACCAATCAGTATAGGTAGAATAGAATTAGATCAAACTGACCTATTTGATCAATAGCTATTCGGTGCGGTGCTTTTATTAACCCGTGCCCCGTCCCCCACCAAAAAAAAAAAAAAAAA